ACTTTGCACAAGTTTACAACATGTAATCAACAAGTTTGCAACATGATGTTGCAACCTTATAAGTTATTATCAATCAGGATGACTATGAACACTTTTTAAACATTTTTGTATCATAGAAGAAAACTGCTAGCCTAATCACTACATTTTTTTATCAGAACATTATACTGTCCAGCTTCCTGGAAAAGTTATCGGCCTGATCAACTGGACTGGCAAAAAATGGATTTTTGCCTAAACTTTGTTTCTAAATATATATAAAGTAAATTTGTTAAGAACCATTACAGTGTCTTCGCCACCAAGTTTTTTTTTTTTCCTTGAAGATGTTTTACCGGCTCAGTTTTGCAATGCAAATTGCAAACTGAATCAAAGTAACACATTATATAGCTCTATTGTGTGTGTGTTTCTTCACCTTTTAGCAATTTGATAATGATGTTAATTTTCAACCCGCTGTTCATAGTCACCCCTGTTGGTGGTACATGTTGTAAACTTGTAGCTGATGCAAAATATTCAAAACCTGTCAAAAGACAGATGAGCATGAGTGTCATTTTTACCAACAAATCTTGTCCTTGTGAAATGCATACAAGTTTTCAACATGTTCTCTCATTGAATGAGCAAACATCTTGCAAGCTTGCTTGCACATAACTTAATTTTTTTTTAAGTTTTAAAGTTGTATACACTTGAGGACAAATCTAGTAAACTGTAGCATTTTTTTTTTGCCTGACAACTTTCCATTTCTAAACTGTAAATAAAGTTTAATAATTTTTATATATAGTATTTTGCTTGTGGCTTTGTATTTTTTTTTTGCAGTTAACAACATAAGCTTTAAAAAATAAAAGATCAAATACCAATATAAAGGATTATAGACATTCGGGAGGAGAATAAAGATACTAAATAACTAGTAATGTCTTAAAATTTAGTTAATAGAATGATTTTTATTTCCTTTATAAGTATTTAACTAATTTAATGTTTTAATACATATTTCAATAACATTTATAATAACTTGCTAAATGTTTTAAAAAATTAATAAATAACCAACTTGCTACAAAAACAGATTGATCGATTTTGGGTATATTCTAAAGACCATTATGTATATAAATTATACTGTAATTACTCTTGTAAACAGTGTTTACAAGAGTAATTACAGTATAAAGGTTGCACTTGCTGATAATAAAGCATTTATAAGTGTTAAAATCAGAGATATCAGTTGTAAAATAGGTCATTTTTAAAAAAACCCAAATATATTTTTAATATGGGTTTTTTTGGGTTTTTTTAAGGTGGGTTTTTTTTGGGTTGGGTTTTTTTGCCAACCCTGATATATATATATATATATATGTATATATATATATATATATATATATATATATATATATATATATATATATATATATATATATATATATATGTATATATATATATATACATATATTTATATATACATATATTTATATATATATGTTTATATATATATTTGTATATATATATATATTTATATATATATACATTTATATATATATATATATATATATATATATATATATATATATATATACATATATATATATAAATATGTATATATATATTTATATATATATATATATATATATTTATATATATTTATATTTATATATTTTTATATATATATATTTATAAATGTATATATACACACACTCCAACCAGCCGCTCCAAGGCTGGTTGGAGCCTGGGGCAAAATTTGATTTTTGAGACCCTTTTCTCATGAACAGCACTTTTTTTTTAAATTCTTTCTGGAACAACAACGTTTTTAAGCAAAAAAAAAAGGTCCTTGAATTTTAAATGGGGCCCCTGAAGTCCTTGCTGCCTGGGGCAGAACTTAGAATCTATCTATCTGCAAATGTATTAATCAATCAATATAAATAAGTGATAAAAAATCTATCTATCCATCTATCCATTTAATAAAAAGCATCCTGATTTTTATTGCTATATTAATATCTATATTATTTTTATTAATCTATGTGCAATTATTCCTATATTTCAGTCAATTTATTTACTGCTATTCCTATGTTAGCAGGGTGTTAACCAGCCCAATAGTTAGTATCGTGTAAACAGTGGAATTCCCAATGGGTTTAAAGTTCCCAAGATTCAATGATCTTTTTTTTTTTTTTTTTTTTTTGAAGTGATAAGACAATATCAATAAAAATTCCCAATATTTTCAAGTTTTTATTGGTATTGTCCTATTACTTTCCAAACTTTTCTTAAGGGTAATCTCTATGACAGTTATTGTTGTCTAAGTACATCTAAATACCAATATCCTAAAAAACTATTTTAATTAAAACAAAATTTTTTATATAAGTACAATTGAACAGTGTTAGGCAGCTAAAGCATGTAAGAAAGTCTGCCTTTAACTGAAACAATGTCTAATAAATATAAACGAAATCATCGCAAGAGTTATTTTTTGTCAAATTTTAAATACTTTTATTAATAAATTAAATAAAAAACCTTTTCTATATATATAATTCTGGCATTAATATTTTGATACACGTTTTTCAATGCATATTTAATTTTTCAATAATATTTATTTATAGATATAACTCTGGTATTAGTTTGAATACAATATATCAAAGGAATTTAGATACCCTTGTTATTAAATATATTTATTCTTGATAACGTTACCAAGTATATGTATTCTTGATAATGAGGATTATTAAGAATATTTGGGTTATCTAACCTCCTCAAAATATTATTTCAAAAAATTAATAATAGTTATATCGTTAAACGAAGTTTATTTAATTATACAACTCTTTATAAGAAGGTTTTTTTATTTAATTAAACAAACTCTTTATAAGATGTCATTTAAAGTTTAAAATAATTAATGTTTTTTTATTTTTTGATACAATCATTATAACAACAAAACAAAACAAAAAAGTTAAAATATCAAATTTTGTGCTAATATAAGATAAAATTTAATGCCTATTATTTTTAAGCTATTTTTTTTTTTGTTATTGTTTTTTATTAATTTTTTTAAAATTCTGTAATTATTTTTGTTATTGTTTGTTATGAAAAAGTGTCTAAGTAAATGTAAAATGTAATTGTTACATTACAATTTTTTTGTGTATATAATTGTTACATTACAATTTTTTTTTTATCTAATCACCATTCAAACTTTATAACTGGTTTTTATAAAGTTAATTACTTCTTTTATCTTACCGCTTAAATGATATCTTTAGACTTGTTTAAAAATTACAAATTGATAAAAAGCGGCTTGACTGAAATAGCTCACCGCTTACAGGCCTTCTCGTAAGAGGCGTGCGATCAAACGCTATATATGACAACTTGACCACGGCTCTTTGCAAGTTTCGATAATTAGCGCATTTAAAAAGTGCGCTAAAAGAAAACAAATGCGATTTTTAATTTAATTATTATTTAATATTATAATTATTATTACTATTATAATTAATTAAACTGCCACAAAATTTCCTGAGTACTTTAATGCAACTTAATAAAAGCAAGCGTTGAAAAAAATATTCAGATTAGAGTTTAAGGCAAAATGAGTACAGAAGCAAAATGAGTAAATCAAAAAATAATTACAAACCTTTTTATCATAAAACTATCATTTCTAATAAAGAAATTATTTACTAAAAAAAAGAATTACAATAATCTAGAAATAGTCGCATTTGCCAACTGTTTTTCATCCCAGGGCGTGATGTACTGTTTTTTTTTAATGAACTTTATTTATTGATGAACGTCTAATTTAAGAGATTTATGTCAAACAAGTTTCAAATAATTTTTATTCTAGTTGATAAGTTATCAAATATATCAAAGATGCTTGGTAAATTTATTCAATTGTTATTTTTCAAAAAACTTTTATTTTACGCATTTGTAAAGCGCGGGCAAATTAATGATAAACGCATGATAAAAAAAACTTATAAAAGTGTTTTTAATATGCAAACAAACATTATTTCATTTTATGAAAAATAAGAAAATTAAAAAAAAAGCATGCACAATTTTATTTATAATGAAATCATTTGCTTTATACTTTTAATGTAATTGCAAAAACAGAAAAGAAACCAAGCTTTTAAGCTTATTATGAACGTTTTGTTCAATAAAAGAAAGCAATCAAATTTTTAAAAGGCGGTTTCTTTTGAAGTTTTTGCAAAAGCATCTATTTTAAGTAAAACTATCATACTTTTGTGAGCGCATGCTCACAAAACAAAAACTAAAACATAATTACTTTTTTCTATTTATTTATTGCTAAAAGATAATTACTTTTTTCTATTTATTTTACTTAATAGTGACGCTATTGAAAAAAAAGTCTCTGTAATTAATTGTTAATAAAAAAAGTCTCTGTAATTAATTGTTTTTCATTTTAAATATGTGTTTTTTTGTAATAAATAAAAAACTATTAATCGCAAAATTATTTTGAAAAAAAACGTTTGCATAAACAAAATTAAAGAAATGTGATGTTTGTTTTTCTGTCTGTCTTAAAGAAATGCGCGCACATTTGTCGATATGTTGCACCCTGTATCCTATTAACTTTTTAATAAAATTTTAAATTTGTACCAGAAAATTTTATTAAATTTCATGACCCTTTCCCTCACTATAGTCCGCTCTTGTATTAGCCTATTTATTCATGGGAGGAATGGTAAAGATTATTATAACTGTAATTTTTTAACTTTTGCTTCCAATTAAGTTTAAATTAATTAATACATGTTTTGATTTTTTTCTGGTTTTTCCTTTATTTATTTTATCATTCTTTAAATATTTTATTTTTTTAGGTTAATTTTTGTTATATATATTATTTTAAGGATTTTATTCTCTTTGCAGTGAATCAACAACAAAACAAAAATAAATAAAAATATCTGCATATGTTTAATAGATATGTGTTTTATAAAACATATCTGTATTAGATTTTAGTCTAAAATTTTGTCCTAATTAGCAATATTATTATAAATTATAATAATATTGCTAATTAAGTTTTAGAAATAGTTATAAAAAAATTCTCTAAGATTAAATTTTTATTTTTCCAGGTCTTCCACCAAGAGTCCACCAACTTATCATATTGGATAGTGTACCAATTGAAAATGTGCTTGGACAAGATGTTTTAAAACTAGAATGTACTGCATCAGGAAACCCAGTACCAAAAATTGAGTGGTCATTTAATAATGTTAAATTTGTCCCAGGTCAACCTTTTAATGGAATTGAAAATGCTCCAATTCGCCATACAATTCAAGGTAGTTACTATTTTTCTAATAAATTAAATTTAATATTGTCAAATTTTATTTTGAATTTTTTCATTCTAATTTCTTGTAAACTTTTGTAAAAAAAATACATATGTATTTGTTTTTGTTTTTGCTTATAGCACTGTGTTGGAAGTGTATTAAAATCAAAAAATCCTTTCTTCCTTTACAATCATATTTTTATTTTATTTTCCATTCTGCTTTGGTAGTTTAAAGTTATTTTAAAATATTTGATATTGTGTAGAATTAGGCTTAGTTTAATCGTTTTCTTTACTTTCAAAATTAATTTTTTTTTTCACTAATCAAAATTCACAATTACCTTTAATCATAATTATTTAATTTGTTATGGAAAGTTGCATAACTCTAGCTAGAATTAATGTTAAAAATAAGTTCTTAAACATAACTAATGTTTGTAGTTATAATTAATTATATGTTATAATTTATGTCATAAGAACTATTCATGGTATACAGATATGAACAGTAAATGTGTACAATCACATTCCATTCCTAACCACACATATATATTTTATAAAAGCTTGAACATAGCTTTTTAGATGTTTGAAATGCTTCAAAAATGTGCTTTAAAAAAAAAACAGACAAAGCAAACTATAAGCAAGCTAAACTGATAAAAAAAGAGAGAAGTCTTAATGAAGGAGAAATTAAAAAAAAAAAAAAAACTGTAGCTCTGAAAAAAAGTCACCAAATATAAAGCTGAAAAACTAAAACTCTAATATAAAATTATTTTCAATGATGTTTATAATTACTTTAAAACTTTAAAATTCCTGCCAGGCTCTGTGTGTGTGTGTATGTATATATATATATATATATATATATATATATATATATATATATATATATATATATATATATATATATATATATATATATATATATATATATATATATATATATATATATATATATATATATATATATACAGCGTGTAAAATAAGGAATCAAAGGTCAACAAGGCAAGTGGTCAATTTGACCAGCTAATTAATGAATTAGTATTCCTTTTTTAGACTTGCAAATAACTAACATTAAAATTACACTCCAATGTTAATAGTTTAAAAGTAAGCGCGCAGATTTTCATTTTATTTCTTAAAGGAAGTTTGATAAATTGATAAATTTTTTTAAAGGAAGTTTGATAAATTGGATAATATCCAATTCATTTAAATAGTGACGTCACTTACCAATGCCACTATTAAACTAATTATGTTCGTCGCTAATTAACAGATTAAATTATATTATATATATATATATATATATATATATATATATATATATATATATATATATATATATATATATATATATATATATATATATATACAAATTATATTATAATTAACAGATTAAATTATATATATAACATGTAAAGACATAAAAACATATAAAGACAAAAAATAAAATAAAAAAATAATTGTTTAAGCAAATAAGTGCTTATTAAACAATGTTTTTTCTTTTCTTAATGATAGTAACTACGCTTAAGATTAGTTACTATCATTTTAATTTTTATTTAAATATTATCAATTCTGTTTACTTTTACTAAAAGTTAAATGAACAGTTTACTAAAAGTTGAATGAACTGTTTACTAAAAGTTAAATGAACAATAATATTCATTTTGCTTTTAGATTCTTTTTTTAAAAAATTGAATTAAAAAAAATATTTATAATAAAAATATTGCGTATTTTAAATAAGTTACATTTACTAAGGATTTTTTAAAAAATTTAAGACATTACAATTTAAAAATAACTAAAACATTTTATAAAAATTTTTTACTTTATTTTTATTGTTATTTTTATTTGAGTCGAGAAGAATATGAAGAGAAACAAAACGTTTTGAAATAGTTTTTGTTTTACTAACGTCAAATAAAAAAGCGAGCTAAAAATCAAGTTCATTCATTTTTAAATTTTGCAAATACTAAATTGTCAGATGGATTGAAATTTTTACTTTTTTCGATAACAAAATGTTTTTAATATTGAGCATTATATAGGAATAACTTTTAGTTGCCAGCAAGCGAAATTCAACAATTTTAAAATTGTCAATAAGCAAAGAATAATAAAATGACAGTTTTGTTATTCTTTGCTTGTTGACAATTTTAAAATCATTTTATTCTTTCAGCAAAGCGAAAAATAAAAATTTCATGCATTCTTTTTCGAAATTGAGCTTTTGGAATTGAGCAAAGGACAGTTTTAAAAGTTAAGCAAGTTGTGACATTATAATTACTTTTTAATTAATTTTATTGTCCTAAAAAAAAAAGACTACCTAAATAAACAAAAAAGTTGTGTTATTTACTATTAAATTTGAAACAGAAACTTTTTTCTTAATTTTAATAAAAAAGAAAAACAACAAATAATAAATATTTGGGCGTCCATAAGACACCAGCAGGAACCAAAACAGGCTTGAATCATACAAGAAAAAAAATAAATAAAAAAATTACTTTAAAAGAGAAAATGTTCTTAGTTACATACCACAATTTCATATAATAATATTAACTTTAATATTTAAAGTTAACAATGTTAAATAAAAAAAAAATGATTTCACATTTTGCTCATTAAAATCATTTTAAAAACTGCTAATCAATTATTAAATGTTTTTGTTTTGACCTTGACCAAGTTGTCTAAAATAAAACTTATTAGTGGATATACCAGACGAAAAACTGCTCACATCTCCTGGGAAGGTTTGTTCCTCATTACTATTAATATTCTTTCATAAACAAACAAAATTTGTTGCTGCATGCATGGCTTTGTAATTACAATTTTATATCGCTATTTGATTTACTTTATAAAACTATTAATTATAAAATTGAATTCTTCAAAAATGTGCTATTTGAAATTTAATTTAAATTCAAGCTTGTTTTTACAACTGTGGTTTTTTAAAATATTTCCTTTGATGAAACATTTTTTTAAATAATAATGTTAAAGGTGAAAGTTTTAGATTCTCAAATCATATTTTCTTTCTTTATAAGCAAAACCTTTGTTACAAAAAATTGACCAAGAAACTTAAACTTGTTTTATGTTTGAATTCGACTTTAAAGTATGAAAAGCAATTTCTAGCATTTTATTTTTCGTCATCCTTAAATAGTTGGTTCTACAAAACGTGCACATTATTTGCCACTCATCGTGGTACAAGGACTTTTATTGAAAAGCCTGGATTGTTTGCAGATTATTCGAAAACCAAATTTGCTCTTAAATCTTTTTTTTGGATAACTCTTTTTAATTTACTAATCATAAAAAATTGGACTCATACTCATAACTTCCGAGACTTAATTTGGAGCTTATTGCACAATGTGTGTAGGGGGGGGGGGTAAGATATGCAAACTATATGTCACCCAAGTATATATCTAAGTATATTACCATTATATACGACTTTGTCAAGCGTCTGCTGTTTGAGCTTTTTAGGGGGAAAAAATATGCATTTTACTCAGGCGAGACTACAGATATAACATCTGTTAAACAGCTAGCTATTTATGCTTCTTTTAAACATTGTAAAAGAACATTTTATTGGACTGTTATAATTAAGTTAACATGTGGGGGCAAGCTAAAAACTTGTTTAAAGTTATTGAAGATTTTTTTCAATCAATAGATGTTCCACTGCACAATGCTTGTAATGCATGGATACTACTAATCTTAATTCAGGTGAAAAAAGGGGTTTAAAAGCATAATTAGAATATTTAGTTCTGCAACTATTTTAGCTGAAGTGTAGTAATCACAAGTTAGGGTTATGCTTCAAACAATTTTTACGTGTCTTTGAATGTGTCATTGGAAGTGGACGCATTATTTTCTTAATCTTTAGAAATTTTTTAAATTTTGAACAGTAGCAATGCATTTGCTGCAGGAGAGCACCAATATTTATGGCAATATTGACCACATTGTGCCTAAATCTCCAAGTTTAACGCAATGGAAAGCTCACCAAAGAGCTTGATTTTTTTAGCAATTATAACAAATTTTTACTTGCTTTATATAATTGTTATGAGAAAAAAAGAAGCAGAAGCCCTCTGTATATTTATGCAAACCTCTAGTAAAGAAACAATACTTTCAATTCTAATGTTGTTAAATGTTTTTTATGTTTTAAATATTTTCATTGCAAAAGAAATGGGAATGTTTTGATCTCGAACATGTTTTGATCTCGAAATTCTCAATGCTTCTACTGAACAACAGTAACAAGAATTGGAGAACAGTCATAACAGCCCTTGTAGGGAGTAAAAGAGTGCAAGAGTGGAGAAAAACTCTCCTAAAACAAAAATTGCAAGCCATACAAGCTGCTCCTCTAAACAGCTTCTTATGAGAACTTTGAGTTTTTTTTGCACCAGTTATCTGTTTATTCATTAAAAAAAAGACTTCAATACAAATTTTTTTTTTTACTTGTTACAAGCATATGTTTGTAACATTATTGTAGGTGTCACATGGGGGGGGGGGGGGAGGGGGAGCTATTACGACTTTTTCCGACTTGTTTTTTAAAATTTGCTGACTGCCATAACGACATTTGCCGAAGGAATGTCTAAATTTATCGACTAACTTTTTGAAAGGGTCTACATTTGCCAACTAACTAGTCAAAGAAGGTCCAATTTGCCGACTAAATGAACAAAAAAATCATTGATGGGCGGTTTTCAAAATTTTTTTTTAGATAAAACATTTTACATTATTGCACTCCCTCTCCCTCCCCACACACATACACAAACACCATCGCGCCGGCCTTGCCTGAAACTATTTGGCAACATTTTTTATGAGCTGGCTTTTTAGCAATATGCCAATGTAGAGCAAACTTAAATGTCATATGTAGCAGCAGCTTTTCTAGTTCTAAGTTCCTTTTTACTCAGTTAAAACTGCATTTTGTACCATTTTGGATGATTGATCTTTCTTATATCATTTCTTACCTTCTTTGTTTACATTAAACACTATTAATAATTGAAGTTAAGTTACAAAAATAAGAATTTCTTTGAATATATTACTAAAATTGCTTTTCTAAATAAAAAAAAAATTACATTTTAGATAAAAAAAAATCATTAAACTGTAAATAGCACCACAAAATGGTAGTAATATATTCAATTATATAAAAATTTGTTGTCCCGATATACCCCACAAAAGTCATTTTACTGAAATTAATACTATTCAAAAAGTTCAATTCTAAATATTTTTTTAAAACCAGATTCTAAAAGAGGATAAGAAAATACTATCTAAAAAAATATAAACTTTTTATAAATAAAGCAAATTAATTTAATGCATTTTGGTATTTCTAAGATTTTTTTTTTTTTTACAATAATAAAGTGTAATAATATAAAATGTTTTATGTGTGATATTAAGCTTCAGGCATAACTGTCCTGTTATGCCCCACTGTCCCGATATGCCCTGCTCTACCCTATATACATAACAAGTGTTATTTATTGCGCCATGAAAAAATTCTTTAGATGAGCATTGTCTTTGGGTTTTTACACTAGCTATCCATTTATTTATTAACAAAATTACTTATTTGATAAAAAATTTAGCAAAAAGCTAGTTTTTTGCTGCGTATAAAAAATGTTTTATGTTTTTTTATTGTTATGAAATGCAGGTATTTTAAGAATTATTACAATTAAAAGTTCTGCAATAAAAGTGAATAATATATTAAAGTAATAATATATAAAATATATATGGAGAGTTAATTCCCAGAAGCTATATTCAAGTTGCTTCTAATCATGGCTTGTGACACTTTTACAGTAACTACAACAAGAATTTCTAAAAACTATTGAATTTCATAAAGCTTGTTCGTACATTAATTCATATTAATTCAGCACCTTTATCATATCTAAAGTAATGGGCCCTTTTTCATATCTAAAGTAATTTGATCAGCACCATTTACCCAATTTTGTAAAAACACTGAATAAATTCATTCCTGGCTAACACCCTGAATATTTTCATTCATGTTCTTTTAAAAAAATGTGTTTTGTTTTGGACCATATTAACTTAACATTTTCTTTAAAAAAAAACTTAAGTTTAAGTCATTATAAAGTCGTTATTGTTTTTAAAATTAATCATAAAAATGTATTTAAACATTATCATAAAATACACAAATTTTTTTAATAAACTATTTTTTTCATAATATTTTTTGTTAATTCATATATAATGCTTTTTATTTAAAACAATCACTAAAATTTGTTATTCTATTTAAAAGCATTTCGGGTAGTATAAAAACATTTAATTAATAAGTTTACAAAACACCAAAAAAAACTTTTTTAAAAAAAGTTCATTGAAACACATTTGCTGTTGTTGTTTATGAAATTAATCATTCAAATTGTTTTTAAATATTTACATGAAATTTATTAATGAAAAAAAAAAGATTTAAAACAATTATAATTTACTTTAATATTCTATGGTAATATAATTAATAGCAGTTTAAAACTTTATTTAAAAGCGTTATGCACAGTGAAAAAACATTTCATTAGAAAGTTAACAAAGCATAACAAAAAAATAACTTTTTATGTTTCCAACTATTAAATTTATGGATTCATCAAAATTTTTATTGAAACAATTGTTTTTGTTGTTGTCTATAAAATTAATTGTACTAATTGTTTTAAAATATTTACAATTATCGTAACAAATACACTTTTAAACTATCTTTCAATAAATTAAAATAAATTCTTCTTATAGTATACTATCAATGGTGGTATATCATTGGTGAAAGCAATTTCTCACTTTATTATCTTAAAGTATAAGGTAATAAAGTGATAAAATGCTTTTAATGATGGTATACTTTATTTTATCTTTAATGCTTATATTTTATTTCAGTGCATTTTTGAAGCATTATATATATATATATATATATATATATATATATATATATATATATATATATATATATATATATATATATATCAAGGGTTGAATTAACGCATCGCGATTTGCGATATCTGTTAAATTATCTGGTCTTCAAAGTTTCAGTTTATGGAAAACCACGAAATTTACGGAATAGGCGAATAAACTTTAATTTGTTAGTGAAAGTGTTATGAAAAACAAAATAATAAATTTATGACTACAAAAGTAATAACACTACAGTGTTGTTACTTTTATAACATTCTTTTAAGTTACATTTATAGTTTATTGTTTGATCAAACAACACATAATCAAGATATTATAAATAAAAATGATTTAGTTAAGTAATTCCAAACTTTAATTAAAGTAGTAATGCATCTAAAAAAAATACAATGGGTATTTACACAATGTTAAAAAACCTCAGCAACTTTTACGAATACATATTTTTATAAACAGTTTAGCATTTCTAAACATCTTACTAACGGTCCGGAAAAAACGCGCGTTCACTTTAAAATCAACCAATAAAAACACTGGTAATTTACTTCTTAGGAGAAATCTATATTAAAAGGGGAGGGGGGGGGAGACTAAAAACTTAAATTTTGTTTTATTATTTAATCAATTAAATCATAATAAAAGTAAAGACAAAAAAATATATTTCTAAATATACTTCTTTATAACTAAAATTTATTAAATTGAACACCTCTGTTTTTAGTTTTAAGTAAATGTCAGTACTACTCTCAGTGGCGAAATTGCGGGGGATGGGGGGGAGGGGGGTTGTTAACAGACAAAAAGTTAACAGACAAAAAGTGTCCTATTTTTAAACTATTTTTAGGTTGCATGGGCGATATGGAGTTCATTTTGAAAATCGTGTTATTTGTTTATAACAAGTCACTTGTTATAAACAAAAAACTATATCTCAAAACAAAAATTCAGTGCAAATTGGCCTTAAAATTAAAAAATATATATATTGGTAACCGATAAATAATAAAACTTTCATTGTAAATCCTCCCGCTTTTTTTTATTATTTCCTCCTCCCATTTTATTCATCCTGACTAAAATTCCCACCCCCACCTACCTTTGTATTAAGCACATTAGAGTAGTCAGTAGCAAAATCCCCCCCCCCCCCCCTGCACGATTTTCAAAATGAGCCCCATACCGCCCATGCAACCTAAAATTAGTTTAAAAATAGGACACTTTTTGTCTGTTAACTTTTTGTCTGTTAACCCTCCTCCCCCCCTGCAGTTTCGCCACTGAGATTAGTACTGACATTTACTTAAAACTAAAAACAGAGGTGTTCAATTTAATAAATTTTAGTTATAAAGAAGTATATTTAGAAATATATTTTTTTGTCTTTACTTTTATTATGATTTAATTGATTAAATGATAAAACAAAATTTACGTTTTTAGTCTCCCCCCCCCCCCTCCCCTTTTAATATAGATTTCTCCTAAAAAGTAAGTTACCAGTGTTTTTATTGGTTGATTTTAAAGTGAACGCGCGTTTTTTCCGTCCGTTAGTAAGATGTTTAGAAATGCTAAACTGTTTATAAAAATATGTATTCGTAAAAGTTGCTGAGGTTTTTTAACATTGTGTAAATACCCATTGTATTTTTTTTAGATGCATTACTACTTTAATTAAAGTTTGGAATTACTTAACTAAATCATTTTTATTTATAATATCTTGATTATGTGTTGTTTGATCAAACAATAAGCTATAAATGTAACTTAAAAGAATGTTATAAAAGTAACAACACTGTAGTGTTATTACTTTTGTAGTCATAAATTTATTGTTTTGTTTTTCATAACATTTTTACTAACAAATTAAAGTTTATTCGCCTATTCCGTAAATTTCGTGGTTTTCCATAAACTGAAACTTTGAAGACCAGATAATTTAACAGATATCGCAAATCGCGATGCGTTAATTCAACCCTTGTATATATATATATATACACACACACAAAAGTCATAAGAATTTTTTACAAAATATCGGAATATTTAAATATTAACATCTATAACTGAATTTAACAGTAGTTTGAAAAATACATTTTTTCCACCAAGCAAAGAGTTTAACCTTTGGAAATATTCTATTCTTTCCTAATTTTTATTAGACTAAAGAATAATAAAAATTTTTATGAGACTACCTTCTTATTAAAATTGAAAAAATGAATTAAATTTTCATGAATATTTTGAATAAATAAATAATAGATTATTGACAAAAAGAGCTATAATTTTATAAAATAAGTTTTGGAATCTTAAGGTAGTTACAATTTCTTTTCCTAATAAAAAAGTTTTCAACTGGTTCTATTTTCTGTAAATGAGTATTTCTTTTCATTCAATAATTCACAGGTTTCAAATAAAGTTGATACACAATTTGATAAATGTAACATAAAGTATTCATGTCACTAAACACACTTAGTAAATGAAAAGTTTCTTGCTGGGACAACTGGCACCTTCTGGGACTAAAAACCTTTTAAACTTAAAAACTATAAAAAATAATACTTTTAATGTTCAAAAGCAATACTATATAATAAATATGTATATACTTCACTTGAATTTTTATTGATTGCTTTAATTGACTAAAGTTTTAGTTTTAAACATGTGAAGGCGTTTTTAAATTAAGTTCATATAAGATTTTAAATATTTTTTTGCATATTTTAATAGGTGGAAAATTGACTATAACCAACATAAAAGGAAAGTCTGAATTTGATAATAACAACTATGATACTGGAAGGTATAGGTGCATTGCGACAAATGAAATAGGAACTGTTTTTGCGGAAATTTTTATCAATGTTCGTGTAATGGGTGTCTTTAGTCCAGGTTTTCAATTTGAAAATGAGCCAACTAAACACAGGTTACATGCTTTTTTAATTTTGAAATATAAAAAAGAATACAATTGAGAAATTATACTTAATTCTTTTATATTATTGAAATTTTTATAAAAAAAAAAGCAGCTGATTTTTTAAAAAACAAAAAAAAATTAAAAAAAAAACAAAAAATCTCTGAGATTTTTTGTTTTTTATTTTTTATAAATTCTTTTTAAAATTAGACCTGTTATTGGACAAAAATTCATTGTACCTTGTCCAAATCACAAAAAAGGTTATGGCACTACTATTCGATGGGGTACAGTTAGCAATGAAAGAGTAATAGACTATTGGTTGCCAGGTTATAATCCTCGTGTATTTCAAACATCAAACGGTGCACTTGTGTTCAGTGTTGTGCTTGAAGATGATATCAAAGAGTCACGAAACTCTGGTGGTCCTCGTTGTATTTTAATGAATTATGGACTCACAAGGTTTTCAAATCAGCAAGTTTTGTATGAATCATATGATAGTAAGTTAACTTAAGATATATATTTTTTTAAATATACTGATTTTTAAACAAATTTTTAACTACAATAAAATGGTAAAAAATATTTTGCATAAGCATTTATGCATGCAGATCTTTCAGTATCCTCATGTAATAAAATACCTTTGTGTTTTTTCTATAAAATTCTAAAAAAAAGTCTATAAAATAATAACAGTATGGGTCAATATTGTTGTAATATTGTTACAACAATATTGTTTTTTAAATTCTACTTTTAGATTTATCCTTTCTTTTTTATTCAACTCAAGGTCAAGAAGGCTATTTTTATTTTAAATAATAATTTAAAACATTTTATTCAAAAATGTTTTAAATTATTATTTAAAAACTTTTTTTTTTATTATTTAAAACTTATATATAAAATTTGCCAAATGGTCACACACGAACAGTGAACGCCTGAGGGAAGAAATGAAGTACATTAGAATAAAGGAGAATTATTTTTTGAACAAAGCATATTTTTCCAGTTATCAAGACAAAAATAAAGATTAATAGAGGAATATTTAAAAATAAATAACACAGCCAATGCACCTAAAACAGTACTTAACAATAATAATAATAAAAAAATTGTTTTATAAACACTAATATGAATGAAGATATACAACAAGTATATCACCAAACCAAAAATTGATTACAAAGTAAAAATGCTAACAACAATGGGAGGCCACAGAATGGAAAAAAAAAACATTAATGCTAATGTGTAAACATAATTTGAGTAGTGATTAAGTAATAAACTTCTCCTCAGAGTCGCATCTATTATTACTGGCATTTCAATGAGGATCAACATTTATAACTAGTTTATCCCGTCAGACAAACATCATCGCCACTTATGCTTTACCCTGTGACTTACGCCTTATCCATACTGCAGTAAAAAAGGATTCACTACAAATAGCCAAAACCCAACCATACCCAAATTTGTAAAACACTAATATTTTTTTAAAGATATGATGTATATTTTATATATACATCATATATTTTATAGCAGTGAATAGGGGAGTAAGAAGATAACAAATATTTATAATATAAATAAAAAATGAGTGTATAATAAGGCTAATGTTAAAGTGTTTTTTTTACACAAATATGTATATTTTTTGTTTAAAAAGTTTATTTCATTCTACAGATAAACAGGAAACAAGGAAACCAGAGCTTCTAGCATTACTTGATCCTCAAATGATTGCTCCAATTGAATCAACATATTCAATGATATGTGGTGCACTTGGATTGTAAGTATTTTACCTGAGGCTATATTAATCTTTATCTGTTAGGCTTAATACTAACCCCCAGCCCCCCCCCCCTTTTTTTTTTTTTTTTTGCCTTTTCAGTTGAAAAAAAATTAAAGTAAATGTTTTAATTTTATATTTTATTTGCCTTAGTGCAGTTTAATAATTTTTTTTTTCATAAATAATATATTTCCATTTTCACGAGTTTTAATGAAATATTTGGAGCACCAGTCAAAAATTAAAAATCAACAGTTAAATCTCCCAGTGCTTTATCGAGTTAATATTAGTGTTTATTTTACTATTACTTTTTTTTTTTACTTATGTTGGTAAAACCTGTCTTAACAAAACATGAATAAATAGTGAATCAAGACTATTTTTTATATAAAGGCTAGTTACTTACAGTTTATATTTTTTAGCATTTTTAAGTAATATTAGGCATCGGTTTGAAAGTATTTAAAAAAAAAAATAAGAAGTGTCAAAAATATAAAAATAATTTTGTGACGCATCACTAAAGTCAATTTTAGTAGCCTGTGAAAAAATAAAAAGAGAAAAAAACTAAAATACTCAGTTCAAGTAAGTTGGCGCCTAATATTTTGGTAACAAATTTGAAAATATTTAAAAGAAGATTAAAGGGATCTCCAACTGCCAAGACAAGTTGTGTTCATATTAAATAAAATGTTTAAAAAAAACATTTGGGATAAATTTTTTTGTTTGAAACTAAATAATGTTTGTTTAAAACTAAATAATGTTTTTTTGAAACTAAATAATGTTTGTTTGAAACTAAATAATGAATGCATACCAACAAAATTCAAATAATCGTTTTAGTCGAAGACTTGATAATTTATTCAATGCATGTTAATTCATAATAGTTTCTGTATATGACGTCATCGCAATATCTTTTTAAGATTTTTTAAAGATATAAGTATTTTTTCTACTACAATCAGAAAATAAAATATTTTTATAATTTTTTACTAAATCACAAAAAGTATTTGTGATTTAGTAAAAATTTATACAAAATATATATATATATATATATATATATATATATATATATATATATATATATATATATATATATATATTTACAATTTTTTTTTTTACTTGTTTTATTATTACTTTGTTGTATAAGCAGGCTTGGTCGGGAAGCAGGTGCAATCGCACTCGATAACTGACCACGGAAATAATATTTAGTTGCGAAAAACCGGCCAGATTTTTTAGTCGTTTTGAGAACATTTCAAAAACAAACAAAAAAGCGCTAAAGATTAATTGGACCGATGAGAGACAGTTAAAAAAAGAAAAATAGCTTTTAACGCAAAAAAACTTTAAGCAATGTATTAGAGCAATTATTTTTGAAACGTCGCTCTTTTATAATTTTTTTTATAAAATTAAGCGACATTTTTAATATAAAGTAACAACTATAAAAAAACAAATGTTCTTCGATTTATCAAAGAGTATATATAATTTTTATTTATATACTTATGTCTTATTTCCAGTTACAAACTGAGGAGGTGGGGTGGGGGTAGTAGGGCTATAGCCCCAGGACTCACAATGTTAGGGGAAATAGTCAAGAGGACCATTCGGTATTTTTGTTTAGTCATTTTTATGCTGTGGCACATAAAAAAGGCTGATAAAAATAATGCAGCCTCTGGCCCTGAAAAATCCAACAAGATTCAACCAAATGATTTATTTATAAAAAAGTTTTTTCAATAACTGTATTATGCTTCGCATAGTTTAAAAAGTTTAACATATTTGAAATAATTCTTCTTAGTAAGATAAACAAATAAAATAATTAATTCATTGAGTTACTGTAGAAGTTCAATTAGCTAGATAAAAATTTAATAAAACGTTAAATTAAATTTAATAAAACGTTAAATTACTTTGTGAGGAGAAAGCCGAACTACTTCATAATACTGCTGATGTTTTAGTAAATGGGCTTTATAATTTTAATTAGTATTTAAAACAGATAAAAGTAACTCTAAGTATAACGAGTTTGTAAGAATGGCTGAAGCAAAAATAATTGAAGTTAGTAAACCAATTTCTAAAAACTTATAAACTTTTTTTTCTTGGGAGAAAGAATCAGTTATCAGGTACACTGAGGAAAATGGATTAGTGGTTAAAATTATTTGTATTAACTTTGATGATTATTAATAATTTCATTAAAAACGTAGTTATTATTGAAAGTATTTTTGTTTACAAAATCAATCGCACATAATGCTTTAAAAGATTACATTTGAATAAGATACACATACATAAAACTACATACATAAAAAATACATACATAAAAATACATTACATACATAAAAATACTTTACATTCATAAAAATACATTACATACATAAAAAATACATCCCCTATATATAAAAAATTAAAATATACTAATAAAATCTATAATATATTTACAAAACGTTGACAAGTTAAAAATTATAGATTTAAAACATTTATTATTGTAAACAAATAATGTTAGTTTAAAACATTTATAGCTTTGTAGATGTGGCTCCAAGAATTAAAATAATAGTTCATTTGATAGTATATTCTTACAATAATTTATGCTAGAAATCTCAACAAAAACTTGACAAAACTCAAATAATACAATTTTTTAAAATATTTCAACAGAATAATCAGGACATTCGGCTAGTATTTTTTGAATACTCTAGAAATTTCGGTTAGTATTTTTTGAACCAATAGAATTAGTTGTTCGTAGATTTGGTGGGTTTTTTGTGTTCGCGAATATTCTTTTGTTTATTTTTCCATTCTAGGATGTTTGAGAACATTCAAGTTTATGTATGTTTCCATGTAAGTCCGTAAAACAAAATATTTTAAAATTTACGATAAAATGAACTTATTATTTTGCAGACAAACAAGGAAACATACAAAAACTAGATGTTCTCAAAACAACTAAAAAATCAGTATAAGCTAGCCAAAATCATGACACAATTATACATCACAAAGTTAAAAAATCTTGAATAAGCCATCATAAAAAATACTTTAAATTTAATTAAAAAATAAAAGAGCGTTAACATTGTAAAACTTGTAGAAGTGTTAAGTATTTAGTTAAGTAATTACCAAAGTATTTTTAAGAAAAAATATTATTTTTATTCATTAAATGAGGTTTGTTTTGGACTTAATGTTTTAATTACTATTTACAAAAACAAGTAAAATAAGTCATTTTATATTTATTTTCTACTTAGTTTAGTTTATATGTTTTATTCAAGTCACTCCTTTTTTTGTCAGTTTATACTTTAAACTAATTTATACGCTTTTGTAAATTAATCTTTTAGTATCTAGTTTATATTTAGTTAAAACCAGTACATTTTACTTTAAATATTCGTTATTTATTAAATTTTTATTTTTATAAATTTTATAAATTTAATTTTTAATTGCATCATAAACTTTTTTTGGGATTTAGTAAAAAGTTAAACAATTAACATGATTTGGTGATTTTGACAAAAAAATAATACGACATCTTAAAAGAAAAAATTTCTACGATGATGTCATACACCGAAACTGTTATGAATTAAACATGCATGGAATAAATTATCAAGTCGGCAGATTGTGACTAACATTATACTGACTCCGATAACCAAAAAAAAAATGGAGGCGGCAAGCTTCGACTAAAACTTGAATTTTAAATTTAATGGTGTGCATTCATTATATAGTTTTAATAAAAAAAAATTAGCCCAAATTTTTTTTTAAACATTTTCTTTAATATGAACACAACTTGTCTCAGCAGTTAGGGATCCCTTTAAAAAAAAAAAAAACTAAATTATTAATTAATATTATGTAATAAGTAATTAATAAAACTTAAAAAAAAGTAAAAGAAAAAGTTAGCAAGTAACTAAAGAACTTATACAAATTTTCATTAGCTTTTATTCTTTAAGATTTTATTTGGTTAAAGGTATTTTAATAGAATTTTAATGATATGACTATACAGTCCTAAAATTCTAAAAGATTTTTGTTTGGCACAAGAGTGCATTATTTAGTTGACTGCAGTTCAGCAAATTTTTGCTTTGTTGTGCAAGGGTTTGGTTTGTTCAACATAAATGGAATAAACAAATGTTATATAGACAATTGAAATTATGGAATGAAGCTGTTTCAACATTAAACAGAAAAGTTTAAATTAAAGAAAATCAATCCAAAGTCCATTAAAAATTTATCATAGCAGCCTCTTAACATAGCAAATATCATAAAAATTATTTGTTTACTACTTTGTCTTTTTGCTTTGCATAATTATCTTTCTATGGCCTTTTTACAAAACTGTTTATTGTTAAGGTCTGTTTTGAAATAAGAGCAATTATGAACAACTTTTAAGACAGCTTTATTGTTAATCATTGAATTTTGTAGACAAAAATTTTGTAACAAAATGTTTAATTACAATTTAATTTTGATGAAGCTCATAAATAATGTTGTGATTTCAATTAAGCATATAATAAATGTTGTGATTTCCATGAAGCTCATAATGAATGTAGTGATTATGTGATTAATTTTCATAGTTTTTTTTTGCTTTAAAAAAACATTAATTTGTTTTAAAATATATTTGTTTTTCATATGCTTAACTAAAATAGTTAAAAACTAAATAGTTTTTAAATTTTCTAACAGTAAAAATAAATAATAATTAAAAAAAAAAAAAAGTTAAAAGTATATATATATTTATATAAATTTATATATCAGTGAAGAACCCAGAGTTTGTTTAGAGATATTTTATTTAGGGAAGTTTGTATTCATCAATAAATTTTAAATCTTACAGTATTATCTCTCACCATTTATAAATTATGACCATATAAAGTTGAAACCCCCTCAATTTGAGGAGGGGGGGGGGGCTTAAACAATTTTTATACAAAGATCATAATTTAACACTTAGAGATTGTAAAATACTTAAAATTAATGGATATGTATAAATTTAGTTAAGAATAGCAAAAAAATTATTTCATCAACTTGCGGCTCTCACATTTGGGGTAGGGGGATAATATTTAAGGGCTTTTTTGGTCCAAGCCTCCAATCATTGCAATTTTTTAAGAAGCTTAAGTATAAACATACAAATATTGGGATTTTGCTCCGTGTTAGGATTTTTCTCAAACACCAAAAATGCTGCATCCGTTACTGCCACAGATCTCTTGTTTCTGAAGAAAATTTGCTTCAGAATTCAGCGTTTAAATACTGCAAATGTACAATAAATATTTATATACATATAAATTTTCAGCTTTCAATTTTCAACAAGACAAATATCTCAAGAAAATATGTGAGAAAATAATTTTTAAATGTACCTTTAAGGTTCAGAGTTTTCAGTTAGGTATTGGATCAAAATTCATATTATTAGAACCATTCAATAATGAGAAAGCGCGCTGTAGCTAGCTCTATGAATCCATTCTTCTTTTTTAATAATTCTTTACAAGAACTCTTAATTTGAAGTAGTTCTCCAAGCTCATCACACGCTCTACATTACCTTGAAAAATTTTTACTTTTTAAATTGAACTTTTTATTATGAAATATTATTCTTAAAACAAGAAATACGTTTCTTGTTTTAAAAAATAAATATTTTACCCTGCAATTGATTTCTAAAAACAAAAATATTTCTTGTTTTGCGAAATAAATTTCTTCAACTATGCTTAATAGGTTTATGATTTTGCTGTGAGTTTTGATGAGTTGTTAGCGACTTTTAAATTTTGAATTTATTGTATCCAAAAAGTCTGAGGCAGTCTCATCCGTAGGCACTTTTTCAAACTATGACCTAGAATATCAAAAATTAACCAGTATACTTGTAAAATATACAACTCAAGACCTAGTGGCTGGTCTTTATCAATAAAAACTGCTTTTAGAAGGATTTCAGTTTTGAATTATCCGTTTTTACATCTTTTTGGACCTCCGTTTATTTTTGAAAACAGAATTTTTAACCATTTTCATATTGTGATCTCAGTTAAAAGATGAATTTTACGTCTCATTTTAAACCATTTGCAAGTCATTGTTTTTAAACAATTTGTTACTTTAAGACATAAATTATAAGACTAAAATATCAAAACTTATGAAATTAAGTTATGCTTTAAAAATTGCAGAATCAGAAAAGTCGCAGGTCAAAAACCGTAATGCCCTGGAAAGAAAAATTTAGTCAGCCATTCAATTGATCTCTTTAAGTATTTTATTACTCAGAATAAAAACCTGTCTGATTTTAAAGTAAAGCAATTTGAATTTCATGAAATTCAAGGTGTGCTCCATATTGTTTACGTTGTTTACAGTTAACTGTTTACATTGTTTCAAGTTTAGCTCCATATTTGTTAATTTTCACCTAGTGACTGATTTTTTTCCGCATTTATATATATTTTTTACAAATATATACAAATGTGAATAATTTTAAAATTAGAAATTTATACATTTTGTTTTTGCAAAAAGGTATTTTAAAGTGAAGTAGTTTTATCTTTACCTTACTATTTGGAACCTTTTATGGTTTTATGATATAAATAGTTTATTCGCTGGCTTAACAGATCTATTTATGGCTACAGCTATATAAAGCACTCCAACATGATGGCAGGAGGTTATCAAGAATAATGGTCAGTCAGGAAACTTAACTAATCTTGTACAAACCCCTGTTAAATAGCCAGGGTTTTGAAGTGGGTAAACTGTATGAGATCAAAAAGAATTTTAATTACTTCTAATTATTATGTATTGGGCCTTAACTCTATTGTGCTTAAAAACCTATTTTTAATTTCATAATGAATTGATGTGTTTTTAATATACCACCAGTTAACAAAAATAATAGTAATAAAAATGCGCACAATCAATATAGATTAAAAACCTTCCATTATTTATAATGGCGTTATTACATAGTTAATGGTTTGTAAATTTCTACTCATTGATTGCTAGAAAATGCCTCAAAAAATGTTAAACTTTAAAAGAATGGCACAAGTATAAATATCAAAAATAAAAAATAAAAAAATCTCATTAAGAAAACAATACCTTGGGAATATTTTATGACACTCCAGGAATTAAAATTTGTTCATGAGGGTCAAAATGGGATGGGTTAACATACATACATACATACATACATACATACATACATACATACATACATACATACATACATACATACATACATACATACATACATACATACATACATACATACATATACTTACTCTTGCTGTTAAAGATTTTGGTTGTAACTGAACTGATATATTTTTCAAGTTTTAAGTTTCAAAATGTCTTCTTAAATTCTGATTGTTTTTTTGTTGTTTTTTTTTCAAAAAATAAAAAGCAAAGAATAACAAAAAAACAATTTTTTTGTTTGTTATCCTTTATTTTTTCATAATAACAGTTCTTCATATTTAGATTTTGTCTAACCTAAAAGTTGAAGCGTCTTGTGTCATCATCCCGCAAATGACAAAAATTTCATTATGATGCCCTTAATGACATTTCTTGCATATTTAAGTGTGCAAAAATAATTGTATATATAAAAAAAAGTTTAATGTTTTTTAAAAAATTAATATTTTCATTAATTAATAGAATTATTTAAATATTATATTTTTAAAATAAGTATTATTAAATAAATATTGTACTCATATTTTCAGTCCAGTTCCAACTTATCGATGGGAATATCAAGGAGTAGAACTTGTTCCATTAAGACCTGGTGGAAATGAATTAAATTTTGAGTTTTTTGAGTTTTTACCAAATCGTCTTGAGCTGCGTATTCGAAGAGTTACTCAATATTCTGGTGGTACATTTAAATGTTATGCATCTAACTCTTTAGGAGAAATTTGGACTATTGGACAGTTGTCTGTTGCATGTAATAATTATTACTTCTTTGAATAAGGTTCTTTTAAAAAATAATTTTAAATTTAGTGACATGTTTTTTGTGTGGTTTAAAAAAAAAAAAATTACATTTTGTTTATTTTAGTTCCACCAGTATTTAACATCTTTTTTCCTGATGAGATTAATGTGCCATTTGAAAATGCTTTTGAGATCAGATGTAATGCATCAGGATTCCCTGTTCCTAAATTTGAATGGTATCATAATAGTACACAGCTCTCTGTAAAGTAAGTTTAAAAGTTACTGTTCCTAGGTTTGATTTATTGGATTCTATTATTATATATAAAAATGAATTTTTAAGAGATGCTCGAAGATCTTGGACTGAGAATACAGATAATCAGGGTTCTGTTCTGTCATTTACAAAAATGGCTTTCAGTGATAATGGAATTTATATATGCATAGCTATCAATTCTCAAGACACTATTACTCAATCAACATTTATCAAAGTTCGAGGTATTTTAGATGAATTTAATTATTACTAGTAATCTGAATAATTGATAAATACAACTTCAATATTTAAATAAAAAATTATTATTCTAGCCATGGCTCCTCTTTTTGAAATACCAGTAGAGGACCCAATTTATCTATTCCGAACTGCAGATATGATGATACACTGTTCACCATCTGCAGGACCAATTCCAACATTTACATGGAGTAAAGATAATGTTGTTATTGCTGATGGTGGAAGGTATACAGTTTATTCAAATGGTACTTTACTAATTAAAGGTGTTTTAGCAACAGATAGCGGTCTATATAAATGTTCTGCAGAAAATCCTCTTGGAAAAGCAGAGAGTCAAGGGACCGCAATAGTTTTAGGTAATTTTTTTTTAAACACTTTGTTCAAAACTAGTTTTTTTTCAACTCTTTTTATTCAAATCTTGATGATTAAATTGCTTTCCAGCACTCTACTGTTTCAGTGTATTCTGAATTGTTTTTAACTTTACAAAAGTAATGTATTCCTTTTTGAAAGAAAGTAGCAAACAAATCTTCTTGTTGTGACAGAAAAGTTTGTTTTTTTTCATCTTATTTTTTTTTTTTTTTTTTTTTCACTGGAAAGAATTAATCTTTATATTATGAATCTTTGAAATTAAGAAAAACTATGGGCAGAAAAGAAATCTAAATTAATCATATCATTAAGATCTGTTGAGAAGGGAACAATTTCAATAAATACTGCATTGCTTAGGGGTTGTCCACAAATTACGTCATGTGATAGGGATAAAGTGATTTTATGAAGATCTGTTACAGTAGGAAGAAAGTAGTGATTTCACCAGTTATCCGGTTTTGCGGTTAACTGGATTTTGTTCGAATATCAAATATCTATTTTCGAATAATAAAAACCGACTTGAAAATTTTACGAAATTTTATAGAAAGTAACATCGTAATTATGACGATTATTTTTGACAAATGTTAATTTATCAAAGATTATAATATATTTCTTTTCAGGGTTATTATTAATTTAAATGTTAATTTAATCAGTTTTGTTTGATAATATGTTCTTAAAACAATTGACAATAGAAATCTCAAAGATTTATTTATTACTTTTACAACTCAAGCAATACATTTTTAAGAAAGTTTCTTCAGAATATTCTGGAACTCTAATTCGCTTATTCAGCGTATTTTTTGAACCAATAGAATTTATTTATTCGTAGATTTGGCGGTATTTTAATGTTAGCAAATATTCTTTATATTATCTTTACGCAGCAAGTTGTTTTGAGAACATTCAAGTTTATCTATGTTTCCATCTATGTCCACATAACAATAAGTTTTTAAAAACACGCTAAAAAAATTTACTTCATAACATCTCATTTTTCCAAATCAAATGTTTTTATATTAGAGAATGATTTTAAAACATTCGCTGATATTAAAACATTTAAACTATACTTGTACATTATTCCTACCTTTTTTAATTATGTAGTTAAAAAGGTATATTATATTATAATATAAAAAATATATATATCTTTTTCCATGTTTTGTTATAAATATATAATAAAGGACTGTATTCACTAACTGTCTTGAAAATGTACACTTTAACATTAGTTTTTAAAAAATTAGTTTAAAACGCTATGTTCGTTGAAATTTAGAAGGTTCTGTTTTCAGTTCAGAAGGTTCTGTTTTCATCACTAATTTACCGAATAGTCGGTTAACCGCAAATTGATGAGAACTGTTATCCAGTTTTTGAAACGGATAACCGGCGAAATCAATAGAAGGAAGGGGGACTCAGTTTTTTGTGTTGATGTATCATACATCCTGTATGTAACTGAAAAGTGACTACAGCCAAATCAGTTAATATATGTACACATTGATTATTTTTTTTCTGTGAAACTTTAAAAAATATAAATAATAAATTAATATAGTTATAGTTAATATAAAAAATATAAATAATAAATTAATATAGTTATAATTAAACAATAATAGTAGTTTAAATATATAAAATAACTTTAAAATAAACAAAATCCAAAATGATTGACCGTATATATATGTTATTTATTTATTAAATGTTTTATTTAACTAACATTTGTTTTGTTGCTAATTGCTTAAATAAAGTTTTTTTTAATTTTATTTTGCAATAGATACCTAACTGCTAACATAATTGCTTAAATAAAGTTTTTATTTTATTTTATTTTATTTTGCAATAGATACATAGCAGCTAACATAATTGCTTACATAAAGTTTTTTTTAATTTTTTTTTGCAATAGACTTTTTAACATTTTTTTTTAAATTATAGTTTAAAATCTTATGTGCGATAGTAAGTTTAAGCCTTTGAAAGGCGTGTATCTAAATTATGTTAAAGCATATTATTAATGCACTAAATACTAAAATCAGGTGTTTGGAGAGGTGTGTACATTATTTTTGACCAGGTTTATTTATAGATCTCTTTGAGATAAAGAGGCGTAGTACAAATATTTACACAATGATTCAAAATTTTAAAAACAATAATATATATATATATATATATATATATATATATATATATATATATATATATATATATATATATATATATATATATATACACGTATTAGTGCTTGCATATATCTTCGCAAGAGTGCTAGATGAATTAAAGTAAATTAAAATGATTTAAATTAAAATGGAGCTGTATTTACATATATTATTTATAAATGAAACTGCAT